ATATTATTCAGATTGATCTAAATGTGAATGTTTTAGTGCCCTATAGGACCTAAACATTTCTTTGAAATGTTATTTTTACCAACAAATTATAACCTCTCAGAGGCTCAGGCTTCACCATTCATATTTACTGGCCTTCTAAGCTGCCATCGTTTCCTCCCCTTCACATTATTGTCCGGTCTCGTCATCACAGACACCTGGTGCCCATTCCCTCATTTGTAGAGTATATAGGACCCCTGTGTTTGGTCATGTCTTTGTGTGGTATTGTTTTATGTTACATGTTCTGTGCTGTGTCTCCGAGTAGATTTCCGTGCTCCTAATTTTGAAGACGGATTATTTCCAAGTGTGCGCTGTGACGCACCTGTTTATTTAGTACAGTGTGTACTATTTCTTGTTTGCGTCGTGTGTTGGAACTTTGTCAAAATAAACACTCAAGACGCTATTCTGTTCCTGTGAGTGGCTCCATCCTTCCTACCTACTAGCAAAATCTGACATAAATGTATTTATTAACAAAAATTATGTATGTAATACAGGCCTTTGTGAAATGAGGTTGAGGAGTTTACCCCACTTTGTGTTGTGTTTTAGTTGTCCATCTGTTTTACGTTGTTTGGATGATGCAAGTTCTGAGTTAAGTATTAATAGTTCAATTTAGTCCGCTCGTTTGTGTGTCACATTGCATTATTACTAGTAACATGTCGTCTGTTATGTGAGTGTTGTTATATGTTTATACTGTTTTAAAGATAGTAGACGCTGGTCAAGTGCACGTTATTTTCATTGCAGAATATATGTTTTTGCAATTCGTTGTTGTCCTGTTTCTTTAAATAAAACCAAAGAACGATAAACTGGCTCAGCATGTGGCTTTCTCTCAACAATACACATTACGCCCTTGAATTTTGACACCTAGACTTAGCTGGTAAAAGGTAAAAATACACTGATTGAGTTTGAGTTTACATTTTTTTTCAAATAAAATATTTAACAGAACAACGTTTCAATGTACCATCTGTAATTCAGAAAAATACAGATTAGGTAAGGGGTATAAATACAAAGAATATAATAGAACATTTCCTGTGCAGTTCTTGAGACCTTTCAGATGAGTGAATGTGTTCCTGAGGTTCTCCTGTGGTTCTCCTTCCAAAATGGCCCCCTATTTCACAGTCAACTGCGTTCCCTATGAGGCCCCTTGAGGCTCTGGTCAAAACCAATACAGTGTGCTACATCGGGGGAATACTACCAATTGGTATGCCTCCCTTGTCTTGATTAATGCCCGGAACCATGCCTGCTTCCACTGGTAATTACAAGCTGGCAACTGGATATGGGGTAAAACAAAGATCAACGAGGATATATGGAATATTACACACCCTGTTTGTCTTAATTAGGATTGACCAAAACACAATGACTTATCTCAAAGCTCCAGAGCCACACTCAGGGCCAGCCCCCAGCTCCAGACTAAACTCCAACCCCAGAGCCACACTCAGGGCCAGCCCCCAGCTCCAGTCTAAACTCCAACCCCAGAGCCACACTCAGGGCCAGCCCCCAGCTCCAGACTAAACTCCAACCCCAGAGCCACACTCAGGGCCAGCCCCAGCTCCAGTCTAAACTCCAACCCCAGAGCCACACTCAGGGCCAGCCCCCAGCTCCAGTCTAAACTCCAACCCCAGAGCCACACTCAGGGCCAGCCCCCAGCTCCAGTCTAAACTCCAACCCCAGAGCCACACTCAGGGCCAGCCCCCAGCTCCAGTCTAAACTCCAACCCCAGAGCCACACTCAGGGCCAGCCCCCAGCTCCAGTCTAAACTCCAACCCCAGAGCCACACTCAGGGCCAGCCCCCAGCTCCAGTCTAAACTCCAACCCCAGAGCCACACTCAGGGCCAGCCCCCAGCTCCAGTCTAAACTCCAACCCCAGAGCCACACTCAGGGCCAGCCCCAGCTCCAGTCTAAACTCCAACCCCAGAGCCACACTCAGGGCCAGCCCCCAGCTCCAGTCTAAACTCCAACCCCAGAGCCACACTCAGGGCCAGCCCCCAGCTCCAGTCTAAACTCCATCTCCAGAGCCACACTCAGGGCCAGCCCCCAGCTCCAGTCTAAACTCCAACCCCAGAGCCACACTCAGGGCCAGCCCCCAGCTCCAGTCTAAACTCCAACCCCAGAGCCACACTCAGGGCCAGCCCCCAGCTCCAGTCTAAACTCCAACCCCAGAGCCACACTCAGGGCCAGCCCCCAGCTCCAGTCTAAACTCCAACCCCAGAGCCACACTCAGGGCCAGCCCCCAGCTCCAGTCTAAACTCCAACCCCAGAGCCACACTCAGGGCCAGCCCCCAGCTCCAGTCTAAACTCCAACCCCAGAGCCACACTCAGGGCCAGCCCCCAGCTCCAGTCTAAACTCCAACCCCAGAGCCACACTCAGGGCCAGCCCCCAGCTCCAGTCTAAACTCCAACCCCAGAGCCACACTCAGGGCCAGCCCCCAGCTCCAGTCTAAACTCCATCTCCAGAGCCACACTCAGGGCCAGCCCCCAGCTCCAGTCTAAACTCCAACCCCAGAGCCACACTCAGGGCCAGCCCCCAGCTCCAGACTAAACTCCAACCCCAGAGCCACACTCAGGGCCAGCCCCCAGCTCCAGTCTAAACTCCAACCCCAGAGCCACACTCAGGGCCAGCCCCCAGCTCCAGTCTAAACTCCAACCCCAGAGCCACACTCAGGGCCAGCCCCCAGCTCCAGTCTAAACTCCAACCCCAGAGCCACACTCAGGGCCAGCCCCCAGCTCCAGTCTAAACTCCAACCCCAGAGCCACACTCGGGGCCAGCCCCAGACCCAGAACCAGCCCCAGAAACAGACTCCGGGCCAATCCCAAAATGAGACTAAGGGCTAGTCCCAGAACCAGCCTCAGGTTCATCTCCAGCTCCAGCCCTAGATTCAGCCTAAGCGGTAGCCGGGAGTGTAGCTCACGACAACAATCGTATTCGTTTGTTGTTTTGCAGAAGTAATGTTTAGCCTTGGGTCAACGCCTCTGCAGCACCGTCTCCTTCTCCATCTCCGTCTATCCCTCCCCAGTCATTATTTCCCTCCACCAGTGAAATTGGCCGAGAGCTAATCAACATTTAGCTCCTCCGAGTGTGTTATTACACAGGATGTGATGGATGGTACAATTACACCCAATGTCACTTAGCTAAATAGCTATGTAATCCTAATGACTTTTTATTCAAATAGTGACTAGTTAGCGTGCACAGAGGAAAAACAGAGATGTGTGTTTTTGTGTATATGCGTGTGTGTGTGTGTGTGCCCGTGCATACTTGTATTTGTGTGTGTGTGTGTGTGTGTGTGTGTGTGTCCATATGTGCACATAAAACCACTGACGAAGAAAACAACAAAAATAATAATTTTGGCTAGTCTGAAGAAAGAACATTGCTTCCTGGGAACGAGGATAAGCTAATAAGACGAAGGCACATCTCTGTTGGTGTGATGAAGATGAAGATGATGATGAGTAGCACCACCAAACCCCTGAAAGGGCGTAATACGGAATGGCAAGCTGTTGTGTTCACCTTGAAATGCAACAACATCTGTGTCCAAATGACATGAGTCAATGGGGTGGGAAGTCATGGGCTCTGTGTGACAAACGGTACACCGCCACACAGTAGTGCACTACGCCAGGAATAGGGTGCCATTTGGGCCGGACTGACTCTATGTGCCTGGACCAATGTAGTGGAGAAATAAGGACAGGCATGACGTATTAAAAATGCTGGATGGCCTCACAAATTGCCTTGCTTCAGCACTCTAGATCAGTGTACCCAACATGTTCCCTGACCTCATACAACATGTATCTGACCTCATACAACATGTTCCCTGACCTCATACAACATGTACCCTGACCTCATACAACGTGTACCCTGACCTCATACGACGTGTACCCTGACCTCATACAACATGTACCCTGACCTCATACGACACTATCTGTTGCAGTAGTGACTGCATCTGTAGCAGTAGTGACTACATCTGTAGCACTGGTGACTGCATCTGTAGTAGTAGTGACAGCATCTGTAGTAGTAGTGACAGCATCTGTAGTAGTAGTGACTGCATCTGTAGCAGTAGTGACTGCATCTGTAGCAGTAGTGACTGCATCTGTAGTAGTAGTGACTGCATCTGTAGTAGTAGTGACAGCATCTGTAGTAGTAGTGACTGCATCTGTAGCACTGGTGACTGCATCTGTAGTAGTAGTGACAGCATCTGTAGGAGTAGTGACTGCATCTGTAGCAGTAGTGACTGCATCTGTAGCAGTAGTGACTGCATCTGTAGTAGTAGTGACTGCATTTGTAGCAGTAGTGACTGCATCTGTAGTAGTAGTGACTGCATCTGTAGTAGTAGTGACTGCATCTGTAGTAGTAGTGACTGCATCTGTAGTAGTAGTGACTGCATCTGTAGTAGTAGTGACAGCATCTGTAGTAGTAGTGACTGCATTTGTAGCAGTAGTGACTGCATCTGTAGTAGTAGTGACTGCATCTGTAGTAGTAGTGACTGCATCTATAGCAGTAGTGACTGCATCTGTAGTAGTAGTGACTGCATCTGTAGTAGTAGTGACCGCATCTGTAGTAGTGACTGCATCTGTAGCAGTAGTGACTGCATCTGTAGTAGTAGTGACTGCATCTGTAGTAGTAGTGACTGCATCTGTAGTAGTAGTGACTGCATCTGTAGTAGTAGTGACAGCATCTGTAGTAGTAGTGACTGCATCTGTAGCAGTAGTGACTGCATCTGTAGCAGTAGTGACTGCATCTGTAGCAGTAGTGACTGCATCTGTAGTAGTAGTGACTGCATCTGTAGTAGTAGTGACTGCATCTGTAGTAGTAGTGACTGCATCTGTAGTAGTAGTGACTGCATCTGTAGCAGTAGTGACTGCATCTGTAGCAGTAGTGACTGCATCTGTAGCAGTAGTGACTGCATATGTAGCAGTAGTGACTGCATCTGTAGCAGTAGTGACTGCATCTGTAGCAGTAGTGCTTCTGTCACACCGTGTCCCCATTGGATTTGAATCACAATCCTGGCGTTACAAGTGCCATGCTCTACCAACTGAGCTACACAGGGGCCCTTGCCTGGCTCTGCCTTCTGTTCTCTGTTGTTGAAAACAATGTCCTAATGAGGAAACGGATGCCACGAGCGGTAATCCCAAGCAGGCAGCCGGTAAGAAGACAGTAAGAAGACACAGTCGGAAGACACAGTGTCAGAAGCTGCGGTATACCAGTAAATAAACTTCTGTTGCATTGTGTCCGTTTTAACGGCATTCATTCATCAGGGAGACATATTAAACATTTGACATATTAGAGTAGGTGTCCCAAACACCCAGCACTGCATCACTCTACACAAATAACAAGTACATTTTCCTTAAAAACTCTTTGTTTTGTGATATCCGAAAAAAATGTAATATATATATATATACTGCACCTACACATGACACGTCTGGGAAGGAGTCGGACGAAGCCTCAATATATATGAGATTTTCAGATGTTGACCTACTGTGCTTCTAGTATAACACATCACACTTCTCTATATCAGTCTGTCTCTCTACGTCTATCATCCTGTCAGTTTTTCTTTTTGTGTATATCCTTCACACACACACACACGCACGCACGCACATGCGCACACACACACACACGCAGTAACACAAAGACCCGGGGATCACAGCAGATGTAATAATGTGCACAGTCCCCCTCTCAGACACACGTCTTCAATAGTCGTAGAGAACAGACCAGTCAAAGACACTCCGTAGTCGTCCAGTCACATAGAAAAGTCAAGGTTCTTCAATTCTTATCACATCTCTACCCTCCTGCATGTTTAACGCATAAAGGAGCAGACAGAATGAAGGGGAGAGCTGTGTTATGATAGAACAGCCACGGCAATAAAGGACATGGCCGGGGCAGTCTGCCCATTGTAGCAGCACTTTCTCTGACATAGATCAGTTGTGAATGCTTGTCCTGGCTCCTCCGCCCCAGGCAGACACGCAGGCTTCTGTAGTAATTGATTTCGTTTTGCCTTGTAAAACTTCTTCCTCTATCGTTCACCTTTTGCCGGCTACCGGCAAGCAGAGGGGAGAAGGACAAGAGGGTTTGATACGAGGCAAAGAGATCTGAGCTCAGTGTGGAACAACGTTTTCTTTAGTGTTCTTATCTCTCTGTCCAGGTATCTGTGTCCATGTATCTGTGTCCATGTAACTGTGTTCATGTATCTGTGTCCATGTAACTGTGTCCATGTATCTGTGTTCATGTAACTGTGTTCATGTATCTGTGTCCATGTAACTGTGTTCATGTAACTGTGTCCATGTAACTGTGTCCATGTAACTGTGTCCATGTATCTGTGTTCATGTAACTGTGTTCATGTATGTGTGTGTGTGTGTGTGTGTGTGTATGTCACTGTGTGTGTGTGTGTGTGTGTGTGTGTGTTTGTCTGTGTGTGTGTGTGTGTCGTGTTTGTAGCTGTGTGTGTGTATGTCACTGTGTGTGTGTGTGTGTGTGTGTGTGTGTGTGTCACTGTGTGTATATCACTGTGTGTGTGTGTGTGTGTGTGTGTGTGTGTGTGTGTGTGTGTGTGTGTGTGTGTGTGTGTGTGTCACTGTGTGTATATCACTGTGTGTATATCACTGTGTGTGTGTCACTGTCTGTGTGTATGTATGTCACTGAGTGAGTGTGTGTATATATCACTGTGTGTGTATATCACTGTGTGTGTATATCACTTTGTGTGTGTGTGTGTGTGTCACTGTGTGTGTGTGTGTGTGTGTGTGTGTGTGTGTGTGTGTGTCACTGTGTATATCACTGTGTGTATATTACTGTGTGTGTGTGTGTGTATGTCACTGTGTGTGTGTATGTCACTGTGTGTGTGTGTGTATATCACTGTGTGTGTGTATATCACTGTGTGTGTGTATCACTTTGTGTGTGTGTCACTGTGTGTGTGTGTGTGTGTGTGTGTGTGTCTGTGTGTGTGTGTGTGTGTGTATAGCATCAGCATGTTGCACGCACCCACTGAAACCGCAAAAGCAAAAGGTTCAGGACCTACAAAAGCGAGCCCAGAGAATCTGCCAGCAGCCACAAGAACATTCTAGAGGCAGCTGGAAGGCCCTCATCAAGACCAATTGTGGCTGCTAGAAAGAGAGGGAAAGAGTTCCCGGGAGGTAAGCTGTGGAATGAAAAGACTAACGGCCTGTCTGCTTTTTCCCTCGATAGACAACAACACAGAGCTCCAACCAAGCTTCACTGCCTTTACTATATGGTGTATGCTTTGCTTTCACTTGTTAAATTCATAAAACACCCTCTGGTCTCCTAACCAGTGCCTGGCACTGTGTCCTTGCTTTGCTTTACTACATAACATATCATATGCGTATGTTTCTCTGTGTAAGTATGTCACTGTGTGTAAGTATCACTCAGTGTACGTCTCACTAAGTCTGAAAATAAGCACACTTTTTCTGTTGGAAGTGAAAATATGAATTTAAGGGGAAGTAATAACGAATGCACACAGACTACTGTCCTGTTGACGTTCTCCCTATTAGTTCGTCTACGCGCATCGTTTTGATGTAAAGATCTCAATATCCCAGAATTCCACGGTTCAATTCATATGTTACCTTAAACAGCGAGCTGCTAGTGGGTAGCATCGTTAACATGGCTAAACTAAAGTCGCCGCCTACCTATTTCACTTCTAAATTCAACAAGCACTTCCTCTATTACCGTCTGGAGTCAGAGAAGACAGCAAGGAGGGGAGAGAAATAGTGAGAGAGACATGAGTCCCCCTGTTTACAGTACATCTGGACATCCGGCCCTGGCAGAGCTGTTGGTATGCGTAGACACTCCAGAATCCTGTCTCTGTAAACAAGCTGGTGGGTAGGTAACTGGCCTAGCCGTTCACAATGATGGATGGCTCGCTAATTAATATGTCAATCAAAGGTGTGTCACATCATTAGCTGTTGCTGGGAGAAGTGGAGAAGTAACTGCGTCCCAGCCAGGCTTGGACTACAGGGCCATGTATCTTCCTGACACTTGGACCGGGGCCCAATCGGCCTCCTATTTTCACATAGAGCCTTTCGTACCGCTCCATATGTGGACTCCCTTGTGATAAGAAGTACACTAGAGTGGAAATAGTGTTCATTATGGACGCATCCCGACAGGTACCGTGTCAACGGACAGCGGGAGCGAGCCATCGACAACACTGTTCACAAGAATTGTCAACGGCCTGACTGGCTGACCCCAAGGATGTAAGGTAAAGGGTTAGACAACCACTGCCTGATCTGGTCACTGCCCCTAGTGGCAGGGGTCCGAACTGCACGACGGTGACAGATACCGGGAGAGAGGGAAGTAGGAAAGGACCGAGGGAAAAGACAGAGTGCTGGTGATTAAAAGATAAGAGCACCAGGACCAGAGGTAAGACAAGGAGGTGAGATAAGAGTGTGTAGGGTAGCTCAACAACAGACTATGTCTTCCGAGGTAATCACCAACAGAAAGAACTGGAAATAATTGAGCGTTATTCATTCTGAACACTTACAGTCCCTCCCTACCGTCCAGAAAAGAAAACATGATAGATAGGGGACAGATGGTTTCGCCAAGACCAGGAGGGCAACACATAGAAAATGTATCTGTCAGTCAACCTGGGAAACACCAGGATACCACACAAATATACCCCCCCCCCTCCACACACACACACGCGCGCACGCACACACACACACACAGATACACAGACACACACGCTCACACACACAGACACACACGCTCACACACACTCACACACACACTCACACACACTCACACACACTCACACACACTCACACACACTCACACACACTCACACACACTCACACACACTCACACACACTCTCTGCTTTCTCCCACCACCCCCTGTCTTCTGTAATTTTGTGCTGAATGGGAAAGGGAGAATCCTTCTACAGTGTGTGTATAGCGGTGTCAGATGTGCCTTTCTTTAGCTCTTCTGACTGATTCTCACGCAACCGACGCCACGAGAAAAACAGTCTATGCACAATTCCTTTGTTACCACAGTTACTCTTCTTCATCTTTCTCTCCCCCTTTCTCCCACTTTCCCACTTCCTTTATTCTTCCCTTCTTCCCTCCCACACTCTCTCTTTCTCCCTTGTTCCCTCTTTCTTTGTGCCGGGTCTCCGCTCGCTCTCTGTCCTTATTCACGTCAAATTAAATTGATGGAAGTGAACTTGAAAGCACGCTAATTGCACCTGTCAATCCAATCTAGACCGTCTTCAAAGACAGCAGCTCCCAACACTTCATCAGTCTTCATTAATAATGAAGGGTGCCGTGAAACACGGGGTTGTAGTCTGGCCGGGGGCTTCAATGCCTCCCTGTTCCCTGCATAGTGCACTACTTTTGACCAGGACCTTATGAGCCCTGTCCGTACAACAGTAGTATACACAGGGATAGGTCTGGCCCTGAGGGAGAAAATATGTCTGGGCTTTATCCACTCCTAAACGAACACAAACGGAGACCCGGAATACCGTGTGAATGCAATTAGCTAGCACGCGGAAACAAAAACAAACGGGAATGTTTTGGGTCTCCTGAGACCGGGAACGAGTGTCATTTGGTATCAAAGCTGTGCTCATTTGGGCCCGGCATCGAGTATCTAACCCTGGCAGACATGACCGGCGGGCGGCACCGGTAGGGTACCGACCGGCCCACCCGAAAGACCATTAAGCGGCCTGTCAGAAGTGGAAAAAGGGAACGAAGAGACTGAGTGATAGTGTGGGAATAAGAGCAGGAGAGAGTGAAGAAGAGGAAAATAGAGAGAGGGAGGACGATACCGGGGCGAAAACGCAGAGGAGAGAGAGAAACAAATAGAGAGAGAGAGAAGTGGGCTTTACAACTCAATGACTGTAGCAGAGGAGAGAGACTGAAAATTGACAGTTGGAGAATGTGGACGACCCGTGGAATAAAAAGTGAAGAGTGTGAAAACAAGATACGGTCAGAGTGTCTCCGACCAGGTAGCCTCACTCCGAACACTTCCCCCATTTGAATGCACGGAGGGAGGTGTCTGCTGTCATTAATTCAGACGGCTCGTCGTATTCTGAGTACAGGCGACTGGCT